ACCTGGCCTAGATTTGAACTCATGATGCAGAGATGAAAGTCTGCAGCTTGTTACCAGACCCCTGAGGCATGAGCTCCACCATGCATACATATTTTTTCAGACTGTAGCAGGGACAGCTACGGGCTACCATTAGCGGTAACTAGGAACTGTGCATGCAAGTCCTAACCGCCCCCCCATGAAACATTCAGCCCACCCTTCTGTCATGGGAGCAACTGAGAACCTGAATGTCGAGTATCTCAGCAATAAACTGGGACAGACTGCGACGGGACAGAGTGAGGGACGCCACACAACTTAGGGGGTAGGGGAAAAGGACACCCACAACACACAAAGAACATTCCCATCACTGAAGATTGGACTCGCACTGAAGGAGAGGCCAGAGAATGACTTTCAGAGCTACAGGCACCACTGAAACAAGAGGAGCTTGAATTATTCCATTACTTAATGTCCCCAGGAAACCAGTAGGGCTCACTAATTATTGATGGCCCCTTTAAAGCTTTGCAGAGAGTGATGTGGAATCAGATAAGCTTGCACTCTCTCACACCCTGCCTCATTCTTCCTCCAGTTAAATAAATACTTTGTTCATTATTACATTCTTACTTTCTGGTGGTACCCATGGAAATTCACAGCTAGGTTGGATGGTGACAGCAGTGGTGGATCTCACTCCAATTCCCTTCCTTGAGGCTTATGACTTCTGTAGGGTACAGCCATACAGGAAAACCCAAGCACAAGAAAATTTCATCCTGCAGAAGGTAGAATTCTGGAGGAGACAAGTTTAGGCCTTGTCTACATTGGGTATTTACCCTGATGACAACCAGCAGTATAGCTGCATCAGTTTGGACAGGCAAAGTTGCTATTTGCACCAATTGGTCTTACCCCAGAAAGGTCAGAGAGTCCTTGAAAGTTATTTACGAGGGGGGGGGGGGGAGGAGAGCAGGGGAAGGAAACCACACACAAACCCAAACCAAAACCAACCAAATACAGAAAGCCATACTGACACACAACACAAAGTAATAGAATAGAACAACAAAAGAAAAATATGCTGCCATACATCGGCTGACATTTGCAGCTCATTTAGCTTTCCAAGTAAATGCCTTGGTACCATCTATATCAAGATTTGTATAACCTTGGTATCTGAGCATCTGCTCTACACCTAAGAAAACACTGCTGTGTAGATGTGACCAGCTAAGTTTGGGGCAATTAACTGCCAAGCTTTCTCTGAAGTGCACTTAAGAAAAGTGGCCTGCCACAGCTTTGTATAATACATGGGTCCTGCCTTTTATCGATATTAATGCAGTTATAAGAGAACTGACAAGTGTTACATGCATACACAGCATCTTCTATATAGTTATAGAAGGAAAGGCATCTGACATAGAATATGCTATTCCTCAATAATTAAAGTCTGCCATAATGGCTACGTACAAGGAGGTAGAATTAAGGTTACATAGGCAATTGTAACCTTAGGCACTCAAAATCTGGAAGAGCCTGATCATGAAATGAATATTTTCTTTGCATACTGTTTGGATTTCTATTTTTAGATTAATATAGATTAATGGTTCTCACACTATGCACCACTGAGGATCTGATCCAAACGGGAGTTGCTCAACTGACTTCCCAGAATCATGCCTATTTACACCAGCTGAGGATCTTTCTCACTGTCTATGGAACACCAGTGGTGGGCAGAGCCATTTCCGAGGGGGTGGGGGTAGAAAGGCAAATGGGAGCAGGGGTAGGTCCTTGAGAGGCTGTGTCTGTCTCTGAGGAAATGGCCCAGAGAATGAGAAATAATGGCGATGATTCTGAACAGACTTATGTTCTACTGTAACATGTATACAATATATTAAGTGTGCTCACTACAGAGTTTGGTCAGCCATGAGCATTCCAAACCAGAGCTTGTTACATATTATCTCCACCTCACAAAATATTTTGAATTTCTCTCTTCACAAACATAGGCCTCTGACTTTACATACCCATGGGGCCTGACACAGTTATGCTAATGATCTTTTATGCCACTCTGGCAGCATACATGAGGGACCTTAAAGTGGGTGCTAACAGCCCACTGAAAATACATCCTGTGCAGAGGGCCTCCCTGGGCATTGAGGAGTTAGTGGAAGGGTTCTGCACTAGCCCTGTTCCTAGATGCCCCTGACACAGACAGGAGATGAGAAATATGCTGGAGGTGTGGCCAGGGCACATTGTACTCTGGATAGTCTGTTCTCAGAATAGCGTGTATGCTGGAGTAGCCCTGTGGCTGCTCTAATTTAGACCAGTGGTCAGGCAGGTCCTTGTACAGCCCCAAAATTCACAGTGTTGACTGAAAAGGAGGCCGTAGGTCTAGTTATATTTAAACCTATTACTACACCTTGGCAGGTCTTGCAGCTTATAAATCATAGTCCTAATGCAGATATCGAGCTGAAGGAATTTCTGCAGGAACCACTGTATTCCCTTCCCACGTAGCCAGTGTAAGAAAGAGTGGAAAGCAAGGGAATGCACTAAAAGTTTGCGATAACGGGGGTGAGGAACAATTGTGGTTAACATTCTTTCCCTCTGCCATGCTGGCTGAACAGCACCTGAGGCACTCTAAAGAGAGATGAATGGAGTGATGCCCAGATAACGGCAGTTGGGTAATGTGGTGTGGGGAGCTGTCTGAAGGGAAAAGGGTGGAGAGGTGATGAAGTGGAGCCTCTTGAGCCTGGTCTTTCCCAAGGTAACCCAGTGAGTGAGGCCCACTTGAGCCAGAGGGCCCAGAAAACGAAGCACTGTTTAGCTGAAGTGAGAGCCAGCCTGGCAGGGTTCCTCAGAAAGCCTCACCACCAGTTTGCTTAGGTGAGCACAGTCCACTCAGGTAGAGTGGATGTGGATAGATCTTCCCTTTGCCAAGGCACTTGGAGCCATCTCCCTCTCATCACAGCTGCCTCACCAAAGTGTGCCATTTCTCCACAGCTGCCACCCGCTTGGTAATTACCCCAAAATAGAGAGAGATTTTGCATCTTCAGCTAGTCCTAGGGGATGAAGTCTGGGTTGGGCTCTTAGCCCAGTGAAGATTCATCCGAGTCTGCAAGATGGCCACCATCGGGGACAACACAGGTATTGAATCAGGGAGTTCCAAAGACTCAGGCTTTGGGATTTACAACTTGAGCTGTAGACAGGGCCGGCTCCAGGCACCAGCCTACCAAGCATGTGCTTGGGGCGGCACCTGGAGGGGGGCGGCCCTCCCCTGCCACGCTCCGGCCGGCCAGGGAGAGCGGGCCCCGGGCGGGCTCGCCGCCCTCCCCTACAGAAGGCTTTTTTGCCTGGGGCAGCAAAAAAAGCCAGAGCCGGCCCTGGCTGTAGAGCCAGATTCTCAGGCTTGCACAGTGTCATCCCCTGTGGCTGGGCAAGGATGAGGGGGGATACATAACATCCCCGTGTAACACCTGGATGCACCCTCCCAAGGGTGGGTGATCGATTGGTCACTCCCTCTCTGTGGGACCTCTCCAGTTCCCTGGGGTTATTTGGTTGCAGTGAAAAGATGATCACTTGATACTTCTGAGATTTTAATAATTATCTATTTTAAATTATTTGTGCAGCCAGAACACATTCCAGCAAGACTACTCCATGTAGTAAGCACTGTGCTCCATCCTAAGCACCACTCTGGTGAAGAATTTCACAATACTCAGCATGACAGATGTTATGCAAGAGTTATTGTATATGCATGTGAAATATGAGGCTTGTACCCTAGTGCACTAGAGATCAGTGAAGTTCTCCTTAGAGATGGGCCTGAACCAATGCCCCAGACCCAAACAACTCCCAAACTTTGAGGACATATAAAAATCAAAACATTTACCTCAAGCCCCTCTCTAGCTATGACACATGCCAAGGTATCATTGCATAGATAGAAATCTAGAACATGGGATCAGACAAAACACAAGACCTATTTCCATGCTCACAAACTTCGAGTCCTTTGCACTGACCAGGAAATCATGCAAATGTTACCCATTGCCAATATCCAAATGAATGGGAAGGGCAGTAAGGGAAGCGAATGGGCCTGACAGATTATCGGTCATTTGTACAGTGTTAACCAAACACTGTACATGTCCCTCACGCAATGATGACAAGAAATCTGATGAGGTCTCTGGTGTCTTGATAGGATATTAAGAAGGTTGCTAGATCTAAAAATTGACCATTGATGTTACTGGACAATACTCCCATGCTGTAGTTCTTCTAAAGTCTGGATTTGATCCATATTTTACCTCCCCCTGCAAATAATGGAATCATTGTGATTCTCCACATAAGCAGCCTTACTCTAAGTCCCACTGTAAAACAAACTGGCCCACACATATGGTGATAAGAGATAACATGACTTACTGGGTTGGATTTTAATGCAAATAAAATAATGCACAGCTGAAATCCTGAAGATAAGAACTTCAGTGTGGGGCAACTGTCAAAGGAGGTAAATCCCAATTAAAGACTTGTACTTACTTTCTGGGGCATAGGTTAGAATAACTCTTTTTGTTAGGAGTCTGCTATGGCCTTGCTTTCAAGGCTATCCAGCTGAGCTAACCCAGTACGCAGCAAGTCTAGAGAAACTAGCTAATGTCAAAAGAAGAACAGGAGGACTTGTGGCACCTTAGAGACTAACAAATTTATTAGAGCATAAGCAGAATCCTCTCACATAAGATTCTGAGGGATCTGTTATTTACAACTTTATTTTGATGATCCATTGAGTGTCTATTTGCAAACAGCTTTATTTAAAAGCTATCTGCAGAGAATAACATTGATCAGAATCATTGCAGTTGCAGCCTGAAATAGCAGCAACCACCATGCTGTTATTTGTATTACAGTAGTGGTTAGATGGATATAGTAGTGGCTCAGAGATTGATGCACCTTTGTGCAAGGGGCTGCGCAAACACACACACACACAGTAGTAAGAGACAGCCCCCGCCCCAAATAGCTTACAATCTAAATGGGCAAGGCAGAGAACGGACAGGAGGGGAACAGGCACAGAGAGTGAAGCAACTCACCCAAGGACACACAGCAGGTCACTAGAAGAGAACAGAACCCAAGTGTCCTGAGTCCCAGACTAGGGCTTCTATCCACTGGGGAATTTAAACAAAAGAGATAAACTAAGTAAATGCTCCTTGCATTCTACCCTGAAGTTTGCTAGACTGCAGCAGACTGTCAGGGTGTATGAATTAAAAAGGTAAGAAATCTTGATTGAAAAAGGCTGGGTGCTTTGGAAAGTTCAGTTTATATAACTACACACACACACAGCCACAGTCTTAATGTGTTAGAAGTCAGAAGAAACCAACATCCACCTCCGGCACTTACTGCCCTTTCCCCCCCCCCCCCCACTCACGTCCACTAGAGAG